CTTATTTCCTAAGGTAGCCATTTATTGCTGTGAGCTTTCCTCTTAGAACTGGCTTTGCTGCATCCCATACATTTTGATATGTTGTATTTCCATTTTCATTTGTCTAAAGGTATTTTTGATTTTTCTATTGATTTCTTCTTTGACATATTGTTCAGTAGCACATTGTTTAATCTCCACATATTTTGACTTTTCCAGTTTTCTTGTAGTAATTGATTTCTACTTTTATACCATTGTGGTTCGGAAAAACGCTTGATATGATTTCAGTCTTCTTAAATTTATTAAGACTTGTTTTGTGGCCTGTAAAATATGACCTATCCTGAAGAATGTTCCATGTGTGCTTGAGAAGAATGTATGCTCTTTTCCTTTTGTATGGAATGTGCTCCATATATCTGTTAAATCCATCTGATCTAATGTGTCATTTAAGGCCACTATTTCTTAATGGTTTTCTCTCTGGATGATCTATCCATTGATCAAAGTGGAGTATTAAAGTCCCCTACTCTTATTGTATTGCTATTTCTCTTATGTTGGGTGCATAAATATTTAAAAGTGTTATATCCTCTTGTTGGATTGACCCCTTTATCATTATGTAATGCCCTTCTTTGTCTATTACAGTCTTAATTTTAAGTCTATTTACTGCAGATATAAAGAAAGTCTATATAACCCTAGCTTTCTTTTGGTTTCTGTTTGCATGGAATATGTTTCCATCCCTTCATTTTCAGTCTGTGTATGTCCTTGCATCTGAAATGAGTCTCCTATAGGCAACATAATGGTCTTTTTAAAAAAAAATTTATCCATTCAGCTACTCCATCTTTTGACTGGAGAACTTAATCCAATTACATTTAAAGTTATTACTGATAGATATGTACTTATTGCCATTTTATTAATTACTCTGTGGCTCTTTGGTAGTTCTTTGTTCCTTTCTTCTCTTGCTCTCCTCCTTTGTGATTTGATGATTTTCTCTATTGGTATGCTTAGATTGCTTTCTCTTTACTCTTTTGTGTATCTGCTATAGGCTTTTAATTTGTGGTTACCATGAGGACTACATACCAACTTAAAATAGACGGTTATAAATACCTGTTGGTAACAACTTAAGTTTGAACGCATTCTAAGGCTCTACTTTTTTACTCTCCCCCTCCTGCCATTTTATGGTTTTGATGTCACAAATTATATCTTTTTATCTTGCATATCCCTTAACAAATTATTGTAGTTATAGTTATTTTTTTACTAATTTTGTCTTTTAATCTCGTACTAGTTTTGTGATTAATCTACCCTTACAACATTATTCTGAAGTTTACTATATATTTACCTTTACCAGTGAGATTTATATTTTCATATGTTTTCCTATTACTACTCTTTCATTTCAGCTTAAACAAGTTCCTTTTACATTTCTTGTAAGGCTCGTCTAGTGGTGATGAATTCCTTCAGCTTTTGCTTGTCTGGAAAATTCTCTCCCCTACAATTCTGAGTGACAACTTTGTCAGGTAGTCTTGGTTGCAAGTTTTTTTCGTTCGGTACTTTCACTATATCATACCACTCCCTTCTCGGCTGCAAAGTTTCTGCTGAGAAATCTAATCTGCTGATAGCCATGTAGGTGGGGTTCCCTTGTGTGTAACAAGTTGTTTTTCTCTTGCTGCTTTTAAGATTCTCTCCTTGTCTTTAACTTTTGACATTTTAATGTGTTGTGGTGTGGGTCTCTTTGGGTTCCTCTTACTTGGAACCTCCAGTCTGGGTTTCCTGGGTCTGAGTGTCTGTTTCCTTCCCCAGGTTAGGGAAGTTTTCAGCCCCTTTCTCTCTTCTTCTGGGATCCCTATAGTGCAAATGTTGGTCTGCTTGATGTTGTAGCATAGTTTCTTAAGCTGTGTTCACTTTTTTTTCACTTTTTTCTTTTTGCTGCTCTGATTGGGTGAGTTTCATTGCCTTGTCTTTGAATTCAATGATCATCTGCTTCATCTAGTCTGTGGTTGAACCCCTCTAGTGTCTGTTTTGGTTCATTTATTGTATTCTTCATCTCTGTGACTTCTATTTGGTCCTTTCCTATATTTTCTCTTTCTTTGTTGAAGTTCTCACTGTGTTCATCCATTCTTCCCCCAAGCTTATTAAGCATTTTTAACTCTTTAGCAGGCAGATAAATCACTTATATGCTTTTCATTCAGGACCTTTTCTGAGCTTTTATCTTGTTCCTCTGTTTGGAACATATTTCTCTGTTTCTTCATTTTCCTTGACACTCTGTGTTTGTTTCCATGCAGAAGGTAAAGTAGTCTCCTCGCACGTGAGGGAGTGGTCTCATGTAAGAGAGGACTTTATTCAACCTCACCCTAGCTCTTTGTTGTCTCTCAAACCTTTGTGATTGTCCAAGCAGCCTGTTTTTAGTGGCTCCCAATAGTTGAGGGTTGGTCAACACCTGTCAGTGCCCCAAAGAGGATCTCAGTCAGCACCTAGATTTAGGCTGATTACAAGCCAGACCTTCAGGCAGCAGCTTTTAAAGTACACAAGTATATACAGACCACAGTGTAAATCCTGCTAGCCAGTAGAGCCAGGTGACCTAGAAGTGTCACTGGGTGGCAGTCACAGAAATCACAAGCCAGACGATTGTATAAGCTCCTTTCCAGGAGATACCAGCAACCTGGAATGAGGCAGATGGAGAGCACAAAGGTAGCATCCATTGGCCTCTGTTCCGAGAGCAGACCCCTAGACGTATGTCAAACCAGAAGCTTGCCCCTCAGGCCGAGCAACTGGGCCTCTTTCACAGAAAGACTAGGGGTGTGTTTCAGTTTGCTGTCTGACAGTGCTTTGGGGGTGGTAGCTGGCCAAGAACAGTCTGATTGTTACAGTCCCGAGGGACCCAGGAATGCAAGCCCTGCTGGCCATGAGAGCCAGACGATCAAGGGGCGTTTCCTAGGTGGCAGCCACAAAAACAAGGGCACCAGAGATGTGTCATAGCCCTTCTCTGGGAAATACTGGTGCTTTGAAGTGTGGCAGAGGGAGGGTGCAAAGATGGTGTCTGATGGCCTCGGTCCCCAGAGAGTACACCAGCAGGTCCCTAGGTGCGTGTTAAATTACATGCCTACCCCCAGGCCGATGCTTTATGATAACAAATAAGCCTCTTTCATAGAGAGTGTGGGGGTTTTTCAAACAGCTGCTTCTGTGCTGGGTCCTAGGGGTGGGTAAGTCCTGTGCAAGCCCTTTAAGAATGATTTCTCAGTTCACTATAGGCATATGGGTTTGTTTTCCTTGTTCACCTGATGTATGGGAGTTGCTCAGGTAGTTTGGGGTTTCTTCAGAGGAAACTGTCCCATATGTCGCTGTAGATTCAGTTTGTCCGTGGAGGGAGGTGAGTTCCGGATCTTCTTATGGTGCCATCTTGAACCGCCCTCCCCGTTTGTTTAAAGCACTTCAGTCTCAGCATCTAGCCCATCTCCTGGAACACTTCCCCTACTATTTCGTGACCTTAAGCATGAACTTCCCAGGTTTCATTTGTAAAATAGTTAGAATGTGAAAGATCAAAAGAAATCATTTCAATTCCAGAAACAATGAAGAAGCCTCTACTGTGTTTTAGGCACTGCTAGATGCTGAGGTAGGAGGAAATCATCATTCCCACCCTCAAGGGAACTACAGTCAAGCAGTGAAATTAGGTGGTAAGCGCTGTAAAGTAGAGCTGTGTCCCTAGCACCATGCTCAAGGTCGTGAGTGACCACTGAGTAACACGGAAGTAAAGCATTTCTAAGAATAAGGGATGATGACGATTACATGGGACTTGGGAGTCACCTGAGCAGTGAGGAATGGACACATGAACGGGTGAGATGACTTGTGATGGTAGCTCAGCCAGGACATCCTGTCCCAGGGGGCTTTGTCCCGGCCCTTCACAGCCCTGTGGATCTTTCCACAAGGCCCCATACCTTTACCATCTTCATCTTCCTGATTTGGGAGCCGGGCCTCCTTGAGGATCTGTTGAAAACGGTGGGGACTCTCTGGAGACAAAAGCACATTTAAACGCCATTTAGGGAGTTCTCTGGCAGGCTCGGACCTCGGGGCTGCCCCATGCCCCTAGCAGCCTTCCGCTCTTGGGAGAAGGCTGTGTTTCGTTGTGCTCTGTTGGGCCACAGCCTCAGCGACACACTGCCATTTGTATAAATAAGGCTTCTAATTAGTGCAGGAGATGGGGGTGTTCATGAGTGTTCCCTGCGCCAGATGATGGAGCAGACGATTCTTTTCTCTTTTGCCTTTTCAGTGCAAAGGTTGTATCCCAAGGGATTGGGTCCTTTTAGCAACTGCATCTGTTCTACCTTGGGAGGTATTTAAAACTGGTTTTGACTAACACCGATCTGGATTTCCTTTTCCTGGGGCTTGGCAGGACCCTTCTGCGGCAGCCCCCAGCCTTATACAGCTCTGTGCCAATGCTCTCTGCCACTGGTACCCTTGTGTTGAGCTAGCTGTGGGCCAGGGGGCCCTGCACAGTCCTGGGCTCAAGAGGTCTGCTGTGCCACCCCTTGACTAGACCACATTGTATCTTTCTCCCCCAAATGATTAGTGACCTAGGTATAACCCTTTATAGTTTACATAGTTCTCTGACATAGGCAGAAAAAAAGAAAATCTATAGAATGCAAATGAGGAACCTTGCTGAGAGAGGTATACCCAAGGTCGCTCCCAAATATTTAGTGGCGCTCAAACATAGCTCTTCTGTCACCAAACCCCAGGTTCTTTCTACTTTTCTATGCTGATTCACTTTTCCCTGAGTCTGTACCGTTCTTTCTGATTGGCAAATTGCATGTAAGAAATATCCTCTGGTGAACACAGAGCTAGTTACCTGGTCCCTACATCTATTTTCTAAAAGGCCTTTGCTGCCAGTTTAGCCCCATTCATTCATTTATTCTACAATTACTGAGCATATCCTCTGCCTGACTGGTAGAGGATATATAAATTAGGTACAGCTCGGGGGCTGGCTCTGTTTCCATGGGTGCTTTTTGATGGTGACTGATTTTTTTTTTTTTTTCCTCCTGCAGAAATGCCAGATAACGCAGCAGGTCTGCTGGGCACTTGTTGTAAGCTCCAGATTATTCCTACACTGTGCCATCTGGTAAGAACCTCCCAGAGAGGACCTGGGGATGGGCAGGAACAGGGAAGTGATGAGGAGATGGACACCTAACAGCTGATAAAACTCGCTAGGCTTTCTCATCCACAACAGCCCTTCAAAATAGGTTAAAACAGGTATTATTAATCTCTCTCTTTTTTACACCCTGCCCACGTCACACACCCCACAGGAAGGCTAAGGCTCAGAGGGAAAGGAGTTATTTGAAGAACTTGCTAGCAGGGCTAGGACTCAAACCTTATATTTATACTCCAAATCTCATGATTTTTGCATTTTTTGGAGAGAATTTTGGCCAAGGCTTGGTGCAGTGTTGCAGGGAAGGGGCCTGACACCACATTATTTGCAATGGCAGTTCTGTGGCTGGACCAGTTTGATTCAGCTCTGCATCAAATTCAACAGGGGAGGTATTCAAGAGGACTGCTTTGTCTCAGGGAGACATTTCATTTTCTCCTAGGAATATCATTAGCTTCATGCCCTCAGGAAATGCCATGGCAAGAGCAAGAGCTAGGTAATGATGAGCTTAGCCCTGAAAGTCAAGGTTAAGCTTTTCCTTTTTAAATTACAAACTGGGTCATCAATAGAAGGGACCATCAGTAGGCTGGGGCAGCTCCTCTGTTGTAGCTTCTGCAGGTGTTGCTCAGCCTAGGGCAGAGAAGCAGAGGATACCCGGCTATGTTATTTTGAGGCCTGGTTACTAAGGGCTGAGGCCAGCATGCTATGTAGACCCAAAGGACCAAAGCTCAGAGCTCTGCTCCCAGATCTGGGAAGCAGGTATTGGGGTAGACTGCCTAGATAGGACCCTGCAGTTTGTTATGCATCTACTCTGGGAACTTTGAGCACTGTGGTTAGTGACATCCAGAGACTGCAGCAAGGCTTCATTCCAAGGAGCAGTTTAGATGTCATTCACAACCGAAAGCAGATTCTACCTGTGCAGAGGAATGCTGTGCTCTTGTACTTTGACCACAAAAACTGAACTACTTGAAAATGAGCCAGCATGCCACTGTGGTGCGGCCAGCTAAGGGTAAAGGCTGATGGCGCAGTTTGGTTATGGAAACAATATGTATCATTATCTAACTGTCTGCAATGACAGCAACTCTGCTTTCTAGCTTAGCTCCCTTTTGCAGCAACTAAGTATTTAGCATTTCCCAAGTCAGCCCTCACCATGTATTTACAAAGTCATTAACTGCATTCAGGAAGTATATAAAAAAGAAAATACTGCCGAGACTGCATTAGCTAACTCCCTCCCTCTCCCAACCAGCTCACAGTTAGTTGTCATCTTCCCTGCAGGTCTGCTCTAGGATTTGATCTTTGGGTTGCTTCCAAGTTCTGCTCTGTTGGTGTTTTGGGAGTAGCCATTAGGACGCACTTGGAGTCCCAGCACAGCTGGTATTCTACCTTGGTGCAAAACTACCCACCCACAGAGTCATCTCTTTGCCTTTGTGGGCTGCTCAACATAAAGAAGTAATTTTTCTTTATGCGAAGACACTCAGGAAGGTCTTTAATCTCCCCTAGAGCTCATAACAACGTTTGTTAGGACCGCAAGGCTCTTGCCTCCTGAAGGAATCTGGGTATCTTATGTTTCCTGTAGGTATTTACTTACAGCAGGGTACAGAAATCTCCTTGTATGCCTGTCTTGTCTTGTCTGGTGGCCAGAGTAACTTTGAGAGGCTTGCTGAAGGGCTTTTGAAAGAACAGCGTCAGATACACTAACAAACAAACACATTTGCGAACTGGTGAAAGAGCTGGTAAGAAAGAGAATCATCTGGAGGGAATGTTAATTTCACACATTCCCCCCCCCCCCCTTTGGGTGACTGTAATCTCTCTTATACTGAGAAGTGCCTCTGGGCACTTGGGGTTGGCAGATGTTCAGAGAAGAAGGCAGGATGTTGCTGGGTGCTTCTCCACCAGACCCAGGACACAGCCCACTGTGCTGCATCAGTGGAGCTCATTCTTAAATCACCGGATGTGGTGCTCATGCTTAAAGAAGCAGGCCAGATCCACTCCCTAAAGCATCATCTACAATTTACAGTCTAGGCCACGTGGTAACAGGAAACCTGTGGTTACACTGTGTGAGTTGCATTGGGTGAATCTACAAGGTGTAGATTTGTAAGGCTGATTTTGATAACAGACACACAAGTTCCTTTATATGCAAATGAGTGCTGCCCTTCAGCCCCTGGGGCAAGTTGCTTATTACTTTTAGTAAGAAAGATGATTATCAGTGCTCAGAACATGTCTGGAATTCTTTTGGAGTCCCTTCAGAGTCAGTTAAAATTCATGCATACCTTTATAAGGCTTCATTTTTTATTTTAAATTTTACTTTCTACATTATTAATCTGATCTGGTTCTGAGTGCCTGTTTAAAATTCAAATCTACTGGCAAATTTGTAATTACTAAAGATTAAAAACAACTGTGTCAGAGGCACCGCTCAAGACCCTAAAAACAAAGTTTCACAGGTTCTGAGCAGTTGCAACTAGAGCAGTGTTTGATGTGACTTCTCTGAAGAACTAAGGTTCAACTGAGGGTCGATGTTCTAGGCAGGGTATGAGGTAAGCACAATGGACCAGGTCCCTGCTCTCCTGGGCAGCTTAGGTTTTAATAAACAGAGTAAACAGGGAATGTCAGGAAGATAATTTCAGATACAGCAAGCATATGAAGACAATAAAATAATGTAATAGTGGCTGGGATATGGGGGTAGCGAGTGGCTCAGAGGATTAGGAAAGGCCCTTCTGATGTGGCATTTCAACCAACAGCTCAGAGATGAGAAGGAAAGTTCTGTGGGGAACTCTGGAGGAAGGATGTCGCAGGTGGAAGGAAGAGCTTAAGGCAAGAAGCATCACTAAATAAACCATGGTACCTGCCTTTGAGGAGTTCATGCAAACATGTAAGACATTCTAACAGGTGAATTAAAATTAAAAAAAACAAACCGTACATACTGTGTGTATAAGAAAGTTATATGCTGACCTTTCTAATCTACTGGAGTTGTTGGATCCAGTAGAAGATAGAGTTCAGAGAGTAGGGATTGGGTCAGAGGACTCCAGGCGAAGTGGAGGTCCTGGCCTGGGCCAAATATATCCTGTTACAGCCTAAGGGTTTTCCCTGCTCTATTTGGGGAATGTAAACAACTTAATTTTTCCCCCATAATTAGTTAAAAGTGCTAACATTATTAGCCAATGATGTGGATTTTCTATAACCTTTTTTGATGGATTTGTTTACATGTGTCATTTCAGCTCCGTGCTCTGTCTGATGATGGTGTGTCTGATCTTGAAGACCCAGTCTTGGCTCCACTGAAAGATACAGAAAGGTTTGGGATCGTGCAGCGTCTGTTTGCCTCAGCTGACATTAACCTGGAGAGACTTCAACCTTCTGTGAAAGTTACCACCCCGAAGGACCCTAACGTTTTCCCACTGATTCTTTATATAAGCCTGAATGGACTCTCTGCTTTGGGCAGAGCACAGTAACAGTGTCATATGTGGATTACAGGTACACCTTATTTTCTTGCACTTTGCAGATAATGCATTTTTTTTTTAGAAATTGAAGGTCTGTGACAACCCTGAGTCCAGCAAGTCTATCGGTGCCATTTTTCCAACAGCATTTGCTCACTGTTGTCTCTGTGTCACATTTTGGTAATTCTCCCAGTATTTCAGACTTTTTCATTATTATTATATTTGTCATGGTGATCTTTGATGATACTACTGCAAAAAGATTACAGCTCGGCTCAGATGATGGTTAGCATTTTTTAGCAATGAAGTATTTTAAAATTAAGGTATATACATTGTTTAGACATAATGCTATTGTACACGTAATAGACTATAAGATAGTATAAACGTAAGTTTTATACTGTGTGACTCGCTTTACTGCAGTGGTCTGCAGCCAAGTCCACAGTGTCTCTGAGGTCTGCCTCTACGTGTTATCAGCCAAGCCTGGGTATTTCTCAGCATCATTAAGATACTGCCTTTGGGGCTTAGATCACCACGTTAAAGGTTGATCTAGGAGATGAACTTACGGAACAGTTTAATAAGTGGTGACTTTTTGCATATGAATCGCCTCAAATTTAGCCACCAGGTACTCTGTGTACAGTGTCTTTTTCACAGGAGATCGTCTTGTGCTGGTAACCCAGTGTCCGAGTTAGACCCCAGCACATAAAGAGCTGGAGGAGGGTTGAGAATTGTAAGCCAGAGTACATTCAGATCTTTTCTCTGCAGAAAAATGGGTCCATCTAGTTCCCACTTCCTGTTAAAAAACAGATGAGGTCGATGCTTTGATCCAAAAATTTGTGAATGCTGTGGGGAGGAATATTTCTTCATAGAAGGCTCCATTTTGAATGCGCTGTATGCTATGCAGTGACTAATTGAAAAACGAACTGTAAATGCCACTAGAGTACAGAGGTTATTGTTTAGCAGAAGACTCTAACAGCAGGACACTGTTCCTTAGGGTCAAGCTCTATCCCTTTTGACTTTGCCGTGCTTTGATGAATGTACCAGTCCTATGTCTAGAGCAATGTGTGGATTTCCCATGCATTCTGGATGTTGAATTTGTAAAATACTACATTTTTGTATCAAACGAAACTTTGAATTGTATATATTTCTCTTCTTCATTCTGCTTTCATATCCTTCTCCTATTAATAGCCTGAACTGTCTCTTGAGTGCTCCTGATGCCACTGGGGCTCTGAAGCCACTTCTGCTTTCCCTTAGCAAGAAGCTGCTGAGACCTTAGCAAGACCTTAGCAAGAATTTCTTACATTAAGAGCAGGAGGGCAAGCAGTTGTTAGAAACATTCTGTGTTACTCAGTACCTGTTCTTCACCTCAGCATCACTTACTTATTCCCTTTCTGCACTTGAGATTTTAATGAATGTTAAATAAGGAAGAAATGAAAATAACCCTTTCATGACCTCTATTAAAACAAGACAAAATTATGCAAATACTTATGATATATAAGAAAAGAAGGACACAGAGTGGTGGCAACAACGTAGAAAATAAGCACCTTATTCACAAATTGGAAAGAACATTCAAAAGTCAAGATAGTTGTGTTAAGATGTTGGTACTATACATGCCTCTTGTCTGGTTTTCTGAAATAAGTATAAAGAACATACTGCAGAGAGAATGTGTGATATGAATCTACTTGTGTGAAAAACAGATATACATGTATCACAATGCATGGGAACCCTCATTTAAGAGTTCACAAGAAACAGGAAAGGATTTAGAGGTTGGGGCGCAAGAGGCACTGGGGGGAGTGGTTCACCCTTCTGTTCCTGTTACAATTTTGTACGTCTTAAAAATAACAACAAAAAACCCAAAACATCAAAAACTAAAGATAGGCTTAAGACAGAAAGAAAAAGATGCCATCATCTAAGCAAGTGGCAATCTGTCTAAGACTGGCCAGTTATCTTGCTGGACTGTGTTTTAGACATTAGCTATTGAAAAAGATATAGCCAGAAGCAGCCGCATTGCACAGGGAGATCAGCTCGGTGCTTTGTGTCCACCTAGAGGGGTGGGATAGGGAAGGTGGGAGGGAGGGAGACGCAAGAGGGAAGAGATATGGAGAGATATACATATAGCTGATTCACTTTGTTATAAAGCAGAAACTAACACAACATTGTAAAGCAGTTATACTCCAATAAAGATGTTGAAAAAAAAGAAAAAGATACAGCCTTATGCCTACAGCAGACCCCCACTGGGATCTGGTGGGTGAGGTAGTAAGTAGTGCTGGACTCCAGTGAGGGTGAGACTGGGCCTCCAAAAGGTTCTTCTAACTAACTAGTTTCCTCATCATTAAATATTAATTTTAAATGTATGTTTATTTACTGCTTGAGATCCAGAACCATACTTCTTTAAATAATTAGATTTGGAAACAAGTTCTAGTATCCCAGAACACCTAGAAAACAGCAAGTAAATACAGTAGTATTTCCTAGAACAGAACAACCACCTTAACGCTGATGTTTCCACAACCACTTTTGTTTCATAAATGGATATAGGAAGAAATGCTGACATGATTAGCTGGTGTGGTGTGGCCTGATAATGGCCCCTAAAATGTGTTCATGACCTAATAAATCCCTAGAACCTGGCAAACGGAGACTTTACAGGTGTTTTTAGGTTGTGGACCTTGAGATGGACAGATTATTCTGGATTATCTGGGTGGAGCCTTAAAAGAAAGAAGGCAGAAGGGTCAGTGAGAGAGGGATTTGGCCAAAGAAAATGCAGGAAAGAGGAGGCATGAGAAGAATTCACTGCTGTCACTGGCTCTCAGGACAGAGGGGGCCAGTTCAAGGACAAGAGAGCAGTCGGTCAGCCAGCCAGCAAGGAAGGGGACTTCGGTTCTACAACTGCATGCAACTGGAGTCCAACAACAACATGCAAGAGCCTGGACGCAGATTCTCCTCCAGACCTGCAGGTAAGAGCCAGGGCAGGGCCTGGGAGACAACTTCACTTTAGCCTGGTGAAACTTGTGTTGGACTTCAGACCTACAGAACTGAGATGATAAGTTTGTATTTTAAGCTGCTAAGTTTGTGGTAATTTGTTACTGCAGTGATAGAAAACTAACAGGTAGTATAAGACGGAAGAATGAACCACACACAGTTGGACCCTTGAACAACATGAGTTTGAACTGCACAGGTCCACTTATATGGAGATTTTTTTCAATAAACACTACAGTACTATACAATCCACAGATGCCCACCCATGCATACCAAGGGATGACTTTACTTAAAACCTATTTTTTTTGGAATATAGGTGAAAAACTCTTTGACATAAAGCATAACAATATTTTCTTGGATCAGTCCCCCAAGGCTAAATAAATAAAAGCAAACATAAGCAAATGGGACTGAGTTAAACTTAAAAGCTTTTGCACAGCAAATGAAACCATCAACTAAACAAAAAGGCAGCCTATGGAATGGGAGAAAATATTTGCAAATGAGGCTGCTGACAAGGGGTTAATATCCAAAATATACAAACAGCTCATACAACTCAATCATAGAAAAAAACCAATCAAAAAATGCACAGAAGACGAGAATAGATATTTTCCCAAAGAAGATATAGGGATGGCCAACAGGCACATGAAAAGATGCTCAACACTGCTAATTATTAGAAAAATGCAAATCAAACCCACAATGAAGTATCACCTCAAACTGGTCAGAATGGCTATTATCAAAAAGCCTACAACAACAAATGTTGGAGAGGATGTGGAGAAAAGGGAACCTTTGTATACTGCTGGTGGGAGTGTAAATCAGTGCAGCCACTACAGAAAACGGTATGGCGGTTCTTCAAAAACTAAAACTAGAACTAACGTGATCCAGCAATCCCACTATCTGGAAAAAATGAAACCATTAATTTGAAAAGATACATGCACCCCAATGTTCACAGCGTCATTACTTACAATAGCAAAGACATGGAAGCAACCTGAGTCCCCATCGAGAGATGACTGCATTAAGAAGATGTGGTGTACAGATGGAGAGATATACTACGTTCTTGGATTGGAAGAATCAATGCTGTGAAAATGACTATACTACCCAAAGCAATCTACAGATTCAATGCAATCCCTATCAAATTACCAGTGGCATTTTTTTACAGAACTAGAACAAAAAATCTTAAAATTTGTATGGAGACGCAAAAGACCCCGAACAGCCAAAGCAGTCTGGAGGGGAAAAAACGGAGCTGGAGGAATCAGACTTCCTGACTTCAGCCTATACTACAGAGCTACAGTAATCAAGACAATATGGTACTGGCACAAAAACAGAAATACAGATCAATGGAATAGGATAGAAAGCCCAGAAATAAACCCACGCTCCTATGGTCAACTAATCTATGACAAAGGAGGCAAGGATATACAATGGAGAAAAGACAGTCTCTTCAATAAGTGGTGCTGGGAAAACTGGACAGCCACATGTAAAAGAATGAAATTAGAACACTCCCTAACACCATACACAAAAAGAACATCAAAATGGATTAGAGACCTATACGTAAGACCAGACACTGTAAAACTCTTAGAGGAAAACATAGGAAGAACACTCTTTGACATAAATCACAGCAAGATCCTTTTTGACCCACCTCCTAGAGTAATGGAAATAAAAACAAAAATAACAAATGGGACCTAATGAAACTTAAAAGCTTTGGCAAAGCAAAGGAAACCATAAACAAGATGGAAAGACAATCCTCAGAATGGGAGAAAAGATTTGCAAACGAAGCAAACGGACAAAGGATTAATCTCCAAAGTATATAAACAGCTCATGCACCTCAATATTAAAAAAACAACCCAATCCAAAAATGGGCAGAAGACCTAAATAGACATTTCTCCAAAGAAGATATACAGAGTGCCAACAAACACATGAAAGAATGCTCAACATCACTAATCATTAGAGAAATGCAAATCAAAACTACAATGAGATATCATCTCACACCAGTCAGAATGGCCATCATCAAAAAATCTAGAAACAATAAATGCTGGAGAGGGTGTGGAGAAAAGGGAACCCTCTTACACTGTTGGTGGGAATGTAAATTGATACAGCCACTGTGGAGAACAGTATGGAGGTTCCTTAAAAAGCTACAAATAGAACTACCATATGACCCAGCAATCCCACTCCTGGGCATATACCCTGAGAAAACCATAATTCAAAAAGAGTCATGTACCAAAATGTTCATTGCAGCTCTATTTACAATAGCCCAGAGATGGAAACAACCTAAGTGTCCATCATCGGATGAATGGATAAAGAAGATGTGGCACATATATACAATGGAATATTACTCAGCCATAAAAAGAGATGAAATTGAGCTATTTGTAATGAGGTGGATAGACCTAGAGTCTGTCACACAGAGTGACGTAAGTCAGAAAGAGAGAGACAAATACCGTATGCTACCACATATATATGGAATTTAAGAAAAAAAAAATGTCACGAAAAACCTAGGGGTGAAACAGGAATAAAGACACAGACTTACTAGAGAATGGACTTGAGGCTATGGAGAGGGGGAAGGGTAAACGGTGACAAAGCGATAAAGAGGCATGGACATATATACACTACCAAACGTAAGATAGATAGCTGGTGGGAAGCAGCCGCATAGCACAGGGAGATCAGCTCGGTGCTTTGTGACCACCTAGAGGGGTGGGATAGGGAGGGTGGGAGGGAGGGAGATGCAAGCGGGAAGAGATATGGGAATATATGTGTATATATAACTGATTCATTTTGTTGTGAAGCTGAAACTAACATACCATTGTAAAGCAATTATACTCCAATAAAGATGTTAAAAAAAAAATATTGAAAAGCTGTAAAAAAAAAAAAAAAAGACACGTGCACCCCAATGTTCACTGCAGCACTATTTACAATAGCCAGTTCATGAAAGCCACCTAAATGCCCATCAACAGACGAATGGATAAAGAAGAAGTGGTATATATATACAATGGAATATTACTCGGCCATAAAAGGAATGAAATTGGGTCACTTGTAGAGATGTGGATGGATCTAGAGACTGTCATACACAGTGAAGTAAGTCAGAGAAAAACAAATACCATATATTAATGCATATATGTGGAACCTAGAAAAATGGTCCAGATGAACCAGTTTGCAGAGACACAGATGTAGAGAACAAACATACAGACATCAAGGAGGGAAAGTGGTGGGCGGTGGTGGCGGTGGTATGATGAATTGGGAGGTTGGGATTGACATGTATATGTTGATGTGTATAAAATAGATAATAAAAACCTGCTGTATAAAAAAATAAAATTCAAAAAAAAAGATGTGTATATATATATATATATATATGTAATGGAATATTACTCAGCTATAAAAAAGAATGAAATACTGCCATTTGCAACAATGTGGATGGACCTAGAGAGTACTATGCCTAGTGAAATAAAGACAAATGCTATATGATATCACTTACATGTGGAATCTAAAAAATAATACCAATGAATGTATATACAAAACAGAAACAGGCTCACAGACATAGAAAACAAATTTGTGGTGACTAAAAGGGGGAGGGGGGAGGGACAAATTAGGGATATGAGATTAACAGATACAAACTACTATATGGAAAATAGATAAGCAGTGAGGATTTACTGTATGGCATAGTGAATTATACCCATGATCTTGTAATAACCTATAATGGAATATAATTTGTAAAAATACAGAATCACTATGCTGTACACTTGAAACTAACAATATTGTAAAGCAGCTATATTTCAATTAAAAGACTAATTCTTTCAGAAATACCAGAAATACACTAGACTAGCAATTTCTGAAGTATGAGGTATAGAATCCTGGAAACTAGCTTGGGAAAGAGTTGCCAAAGTACCTTTTCTGGAAACAGGCTTCCTGCACTCACCCACATTCACGCCTCCATCCCTTGGCCAGTCTGGTGGGTCCACCTCCCTTTCTCACCGCAGGCTTCAGGGCTGAGCTGTGTGCCACAGCAGGCATTGTCTTTCCCACCAGGGTTTCTCTTTCTTGGCTAGCTGGGAAATGGTCCTAGTATTCCATGCCATCTAAGCTTAGAGGTCTTTTCTTGATCCTGTATTTTAACCTTCCCTGTCTCTGGAAATCTTTCCTTGAAGAAGTCATCTTTGAAAGCCACGGAATCTTTGGGCTGGGACAGACGAAACAATAATTAGGATTTCCTTGTGAAAAAAGGGAGGCAAGTGAAAAATTGATCTATTTTGGTAGGAAAATCTAAAATAACATCAGAGGCTTTTAACAAAGACTATTAGCATTTAAAAGAAACTGGTGAAGCTAATCTGATACTCTCTGTATTTTATTATCTCCAAGCCTTGGTTCTACCTATAAATGAAACACTACATTTTCCCAATATTAAATATTTATTTCTTTACATATACAAAAATATTTTACCAGGAGTATGCAATCTCACAGATTGGACATTTCAGTAACTTTCATTTTGGACAACATATGGAAATAATGTGAAAAGAAAAATTTATAGGGACAGTTTCTGAGAAATCAATACTTAATTGTACTGCAGGAAAATTTTATTTATACAAGGACAGCAATAATGTTTCTTTTATACAGGAACTAGTAATACAGTTACTTGGAAAGCAGTAGCAATTTTATTTTTAAACTTTTTTCACCAGAAACTTACTTTGGCAGCTTGTTCAGCTTTGATTTTTTGGTTGCTAACAAGCATTTTGCCCTCCATTAAAAAACAAACAAAAACAAAAAGGTCTCTTCTACAATCATTTCAAAGACCAGAGGTTAAAAGGAGCATGCATATGTGTTCAAAATAAATATATACCAAAAGAGAGATGGAAAAAAAGTCCCCCAAGGTCTTCACATCAGTTTCTTATCATGGGCTCTAACAGAGCTAACGACGTGGAAATTATACCAGCTGCTGAACCCCAGTGCTCCTTCTTCTATAGCAAAATCCAAGACACCACTTTCTTAAAAATCAATGTTACTGAAAAAACAGGAGTCAGCAGCTGTTTTTTAAAGTGGACACACAGCCAAAGGAAATATTTACCTTGTATTTCAGTTACAGATGGAGATCAGCTATTCCTCAAATCAGGTTTTACTGAAAAGACTTAAGGCATCTCTCAGTTGGACCATGTTTACCAGAACAAGGTTTATGTCTCCAAAGTAAGGTTACTCATACCACTGCCTGCCTCTCCTATTTAAGAGTAAGATGAGAACCACACATTTTAACTGGTAATGACTTCTGGGTTAGTAATACATAGCAGAGGAGTTTCCCTCTTCCTCCAAGCTCCCAGGCCACCTTGACTGATGTGAGGAAGGTCAAATTTCAGGCATGGCTTGTCATATTTGTATGTTTCTACCCCTGGCATGCTATTGCTGAAGTGCAGTAAAGACATCTATTTCCAACTTTTAAAATAAGACCTTTTGGCTTCTACTCTGTGGTAGTGACAATACCTGTTCAATGGGACTCAAGACAAGTCCCATTGTCTTGAGTTGCAAGACATTGCAAGCATTGAGGCATTTAATCTGCCAAGTTGTAAGTGGCATTTACATTACCTGTAGATGTGTTCATTCAGTTTGTGCCAGAGATTAGAAACAGTAAAAGCTGGTAGGGAAAAAAAAAATTGTCACTTCTGACCGACTTTGGCACGTGGAGGCAAGTCAGATTTATCATAGCACTACAGTATCAGCCAATGGCCCTGAAGCAATTAGAGAACAAATCTAAAATGCATTCATATTATGTTGGATTCAAGGTCCCCTAACTGGACCTAACTGAATGTGTTTCCCCTTTTAAAGAAACAGATGCCTTTTAAACTTACACTAAACAATAGGGCTGCAGTGATAAACTTCAGGCATAAGGTAGGGCAGCTTTAAGGGGCAAACATCAGAGTGTCTTTGGATGCTTACTTAAATTGTGGATTGCCTACTTAAATTTTGTTTGACTTGTGAGTGGTCAAGGTAGCAAGGATTTGCTAAAGGTTTGGACTTAGAGTAGGATTCTGAACTCACGACCTCCTGACCAGGACCACTAAGAGAGCAGAACACATCCTCTTCCAGGCTGGAACTATCAATGCATCCTCAGAGCTGTTTTAAAACTGAAGGTAGAATTTCTGAATGGTGTGCACCAATCACTATGTTACCTCCAAAAGAGGTACATTTTAAAAGAACTAAAAGATAAGCAACCTCAGGGTAAGTGAATAAACAGATAAAGTAGCTTAATAAGGATTTTCCAACTTAGCATTTATCACATCAGAGTTATAAATTACTTCTTGTAATTTAAGGTGAAGACAAATATTAAGTTAGCCTTATTTAACAAGTGTAATATTAAAACTAAAGGGAGATATAAATTTTATCAAAGGTCACATGGTCAGGAGTCAGAATTAGGATCTCAACCAGTAGAAGTACACCAGCTCTATTTTTATCAAAAGAGAGACTATTTTAAAGAAAGCAGTACAGTGTATTGCAGAAGTAGTGCAAACGTGCTTTTAAATTCTTACCTTAGAAATGAGATATCATTCCTTCACTTTTTAGTGTTTTTAAGGACTCATTTTTGATTCTGTGCATTAAATCATTCCAGGAACACACAAAGTAACATGACAAATTATGGGAAATATTAAAAATGAATAAAACTTGAAGCTAACAAAAATGCAGTTAAAAAATAATCTTACCTTAAAAAAATTATATAATTGTTATCTTCCGCAGATACACAATGTATACGTAAAAGCTCATGAATTATTAGTCGACTGTATTCTTAAAAGTCTGTGAATAATATTAACTTGTACTATATACAATAATCCTCTTATTTAAAATTCGGAATTTCTCCCAAGAACTCCAAATCTATTACAGATGTTATTACATGAATTCTCACAACAAATCCAATGAAACAAGAGGAGGGCAGGTACCATAATCTCTAAGCCGGAACCATATCACAAACTCACTTGAAGGTTTAAATAAGTATTTCCCAAGAGGCTTCCATCTAGGACTCTGTCCTTTTTCCCTAAGGAAACTAAGTTATAATAATTTTCTGAGCTTAATTCCAAATATATTTTTCAGAAAGGGGATTAGTATCTGCCTCAAGGTAAAGCCAGAGCCTACGAAAACAATGTGAAAAAAGTTTCATAATGTCTAAGAATAGGGAGTAATTAAAAATGTAAAAGCACTAGTTATAATTACGTGGGTGAACAGATTTAATTTTACTATTCATGTATCTTGGGAGAATTTTTACATATTATACACATAGCTGTGTGCATATATATATATATAATATATATATAAATAATATATATATTATATATGGTGACTCAAACGTTTAAAAAATGACCTGCTATCTATATACATAAAACTTCAGGATTGCTTTTTCCATTCTTAGTATAAAGATTCATTACTATAAAATTATTGGCTCCCTAGCCTGTGATTTCTGGAAAACGGGGTGTTGTTTCAGAAGCCGTGTAAGTACAATGTTAAGCAGATCATTATTTTGACCAATTTTCAAAACTTTTATGTTCAGTGTTTACAAATTTAAAATAATTGTACCTAACTCCATGGCTATCCATCATAAAAATCAACCCCAATTACTGGATCATGACACTTACTGTTATCCATAAAAATAAGTACAAATTTAAATGAATCTTTAAAGCAACGATCATCCTCTACTGTCACTGGGATATTACGGTCAAAGCAGTTAGTATCTGGCCAGTCTATAATGCTACACTAACGTATTTTATTGCTAATTTGCATTATTTTCTAAATTTGTGTTAATATCCAATTTGCTCTTTAAAGAAAACTTGTCCTTATAAGCTATTATATTAAATTTACTAGATTCTAGAATCTAGGGTTCAGGCTACTATTGCTGTACTGGGTTTATGATACGATTTCTACTTTAGAAAGCTATCTTCAGCAATGGTATGGTTAGACTTGGCAAAAGTAAACAAAGTTCTGATGTACTGGATAGTATTTTATTTGATACTATCCAAATATCAAACAGAAATTGAGACTGCATAATCGAGGCATGGCTGTAATAAAAGTCAAATTCTACTTGAGTGCATCACATGTATTCTACTACTTACGGTTAAATGATTCATCCAGGGACATCAACTCTATGGATATGGGGTACTTGTATATTTAAAAATAAAAAATATATATAATATTTAGCTGTATATAAACAGTCATGCCCTGAATGCTGAATGTGGATACTCACCTGTCCACAAGGAATCCTCAGGTGCCTTAGTGTACTGGCACATTGTTTCCCAAAAGCATATGCACGTGCATGTATATTTTAACTATTACCAATTGTTCAACATCACTTTAAACTATTTTCTCATTAGTAAAGCTAATTATCTTAGACCTTTCCTACAAGAGAGGTTCACATTTCGTTGATCACAACTATACTCTCATTGCCTCGGGAGAATCCCAGAGCCTCTGGGACTCCTTGCCCCAGCAGAGCTCTGCTGGTTCCTGCAGACCCAGATGGGACTTGAATTTCAAGTTCAATGACTCTTTACTGAGATAAACAAACTTTTCTAAATTTATTCTCTTCAGCTCTGGCGTCTCGACTGAAATGAAATCAACTGCACTGTTCCATTTTATATTAGGAGGCATCTCATATTAACTAAGTAGTTAGTCATGAATACCATTTATAATAGAAATAATTCCTTTAAGTGTAGTCTGTTTTCTAAATAATGTGCGTTTTATACCATATGATAAGGCTTAAGATATATATGATGTAAAAATCATCTCTGTTGTGTCAAGATGGGTAAAATATTTTGTGTATAAACTTCTTGAGCTGCTACAATGATTCCAAAGAGGCTCCACACAGCAGCATGAAGGCACACCGCAGAAGACAGCACATTTCCTGAGAATGTGGAAATAAAATTTCTCTTAAAGCTTACAGTGTGTTGAGACACTAAGTCATGGGACATCATCTCGACACTGTGCTTTGATTCATGTTGCTTTGAGAAGCCAAGAATTTGATGTAAATATATGTGGTTTAAAAGTTACCAAAGTTATTAAAAGGGTGTGATCCATTCTGCCACCAATTTCCTATCCTAGGACAAAGAACATGAATTTGTGTTCTGGATATGAAATGCTGGATGAAAAAAAACACCTATGGATTTCCAATCTTAACCATACAGCAACTTGGGTGTTCGGTCTCATTGTGAAGAACAGTGTGTGCATGCTGCTTAATGCCATGTATTTTCTCTTCCCTCTGAGTCCTCCTGGCCGCATTCCGTGTGACAGCTTTGGTGAGGGGAAAACAAATTCAGCAGCCAGGTGTCTGGTGCCTAGCACCAGACAAAGATGACCACCAGTATTTAAGCACCTAACCCTTTAAGTGTGAATACTGTTTATGTGAAAAGCTAGCAGCAATATAAAATATGGCTAACTTAGTTTAATGATGACCTGCATCTCTGAATATGTTTTAGGAAGAATTTATACCATCTAAGAATCCTAAAAGCATATACTAACTGAGATTAATTTTGGAAATTTGTATATGTTAATGCATCTAAAGACGGAGAACTGTTTTCCTAATCATTAAACAAAAAAGTACATTTCCTAACAGAAATGTAAAAAATATATATAATACATTATTTAATATATATTATATAATACATACAATGTACATATTATATAATGTATATATTATATTGAGATAAAACAGCTGACAATTATTTCCAGATTTCATAAATCGTTCAATGGATTTGGTTCACAACATAACAAACCGAAAAAATACCCTAATGATCACATCACACTTCAAAAGCACACTGATTGTTCACAAAACCCCCCAATTGCAAACTTGGAGGCATTTTTCAGCATCACAGAAATTTTCAGAGGTGTGATACATTTGCTGACCATATCCTAATAAAAAAACTGTATAAAGCAATAGGTTCATTTTTGTTAGTTAAATTTTTACATGTACAAATAAATCAACTTTCAGAGTCATTTTGCTGTAAGGTTTTGCAGGATAAGGCACCCTCTCAGCTGGCACGGCCTTGCTTGTTGTGTACATGTTAACGAAGCATCAGCCTGTCACTGCAACAAATGAGAGTGCAAAGTATTGCTCTTCATATTTTCACGAGAGAGAATGAAGGGAAAAAACTAATATAGCTGCGTAAATTAAAGTGGATAGCCATACATCTCTGTAATAATGAAACTATGTAGCATTGAGCAGACTTCTGATGTCAGTATTGGATGGTAGCAGACTAGCTGTAGCACTGACATTAAAATTCTGCTTCTGTAAGAAATTATACATATTAGGAAAGAAGGCCAATAAACCATTATTTTCTCCTAATAAGAGTAGCTGACCCTTCACTAAATACTGAACTAAATGACAGCTTTACAAAACTATTTCAAGTATTCATTATCACAGTGAAAATATGAGACCAATGTTAGAGTGAATGATTTGAAAATTCCTTTGATGAAAAAGGCAAGGGTACTAAATCAAAACATATACAAAATGCTTCAACGCATTTCTTTATGTGATATGAATAGAAAGATTATTCATAAAAAGTTAGAAAAATTAAGATAAATTATATATTAGTACACCTTCCCAACCACATTTTCTATAAAAATCCAGAATAGTGTACTGGTACTTCAATCTACACAATAAAAATGCCTGGACTTGGCAGATATCTTCTATCTGTGCATGTATTTTCTCAGTAGAAGGTTTATTTGTTGCAGTCACTTTTTGAAAGTTTTATTTTAATTGTGAACCTTATTGAATCATCAGTAAACCCAGCTGATTGGGACCCACTGTGGCTCCATTCTCAGTTTCTCTATGGCAGTTTGTAGTTTCTCAAAGGCTTTGTCTAGATTGTCATTTACAATGATCAGATCAAAATAGTGGTTGTATGCTCTTTGAATCCGTGCACTTTCATCCACTGTTTTCTTCAAGTCAGAGTCCTGTCAAAGAGTTTTAAAAGGACAAGTTTACATAATGTATATTTAATTGCTCAAAACCAACTCAAAATGAAATAAGTAGGTTGGATATTTGTTTGTTGTGATTCTGATACTAATCCTCAAAATCTAATCTATATAGATTGTTAAAAAAGACATTACCATCTGTTCATATCCTAGTCTTTCCAGCTGGCACTCATGTTTGAATTTATGAGTATTCTGTATCTTCTGTTTCACTGATACTAAGGTAAGATTCCTGATTAAAAGACTGCTGACAATATCTTGGGGTGAAACCCAAAGTAATAAAAGAATTCTTGTAGGTGACTGGTCTCTAGCCCAACTGCATCACCCTTCTCAAAACATTTTTATCGTATGGATTCTGTAACTCATGGAACCCAATCTGCAGCGGCTGTTAAGCTCAAAGCCAAATTTGCTGCCTTTCTCTAAGAAAAAGAACCTCAGAAATGTATTTTGAAGGCTGCCTGTCCATGCTCCCCACCCCCAACAACACACACACACTTTTATCTATTTTTTTAGCTAGTACTGTTTATATTTCATAAAATATTTCTAGTCATTTTGGAACAATGTGGGGGAATAAATAAGTAATGGGTTTTGCATGAGCAAGTAAAGCTTTTCATTAAATTGCAAGTGTTATGAAATTTCATAATGCTTCTACATGTTCTTCAAATACTGAGCTCCTATTAAAGCGTCTACTATATTTCATAATTTGTGGATATAAAAATGAATGAGAGAGAATGGGCTCCTCCCCTCCAGTGGAGGAGACAAATAAAGGTCAAATAAACAAAAACCTGCAAGTTGTAATAAGTACTATGAAAGAAACCAACCAGGAACAAAGAATTTTAAGAGATCTACTTTAGACACAATGCTTACAAATACTCTACAAATGAATAAATGATATTTAAACTGAGTAAATGACATTTAAACTGAGAACTATAGTGGGAGAAAGACCATTCCAGGCAGAGGAAATAGGAATGTAAAGTTCAGGAGGAAAATCACCCAGATGTGTTTAAGATACTGAAAGACCAAGATGGATGGAGGCTTAGGGAGGGTGGGTAGTAAGTTGAGGTAGCCCAGGCTAGGTCATGGAGGACCTAGATGCAATGGAAAGACATCTCTGGATTATGATGGTGGCAGAGGAGATGGAAATGACACCAGACTAGAAATATATTTTGGTGATAAAATCATCAGGATTAACTGATGGGCTGGATATGAAAAGTGAGGAATATGAATGAATCAAAAATAGCTCGAGGGGCTTCCCTGGTGGCGCAGTGGTTGAGAGTCCGCCTGCCGATGCAGGGGACACAGGTTCGTGCCCCGGTCCGGGAAGATCCCACATGCTGCGGAGCGGCTGGGCCCGTGAGCCATGGCCACTGAGCCTGCATGTCCGGAGCCTGTGCTCCGCAACGGGAGAGGCCACAACAGTGAGAGGCCCGCATACGGCAAAAAAAAAAAAAAAAATAGCTCGAGTTTCTAGCTTGAATAAATGGGTGGTTGCAGAAGATGCAGAGTTGAGGGGGTGGGAGTGTGAAAAACACGATATTGGTGAGAGGAAACAAAACATTCTACTTTGTTTGTACATGTTAAGTTTAACATGTCTGTGAGACATTCAAGTGCAGATGTAACGTTAAGTAGGTAATGGTTATATAAATTGGAGCTCTGAGGTCTGGGTTATCTACATATAAATTAGGAATCATCAGCATAACAACGATATGTAAGTTAGTGGATTTGGTGAAAACACCTAAAGGAAAGTATATAGAGAGAAATGGGTTCCCAACTAAGCCTGAGGGATACTAGTACTATAGTTAATATTTTCACTAAGATTTCGAAATCAATTTGAAACAACTAAAATATCTTTTATTATAGATGTATAAACAGGCCACAATTCAACTTGTAAACAAATCTTACCTAATAGTCATTAGCAATTTGTCGTTAATTAAAAAAAAAATTTTTTGACAATAACAATCCTGTAACAATAATGGAGTATACCATATAGATGGAAAAATGAATTAAAAAATCTCTATGTATGGCTCTAGAATGATCTCCAGAATATATTAGTAAGTGAAAAACGCAGGCAGACTACTGTATGTAGTAAGTTACCTTTTATGTAAGAAATGAGGGAGGGAGGATATACATACATACTTGCTTATATTAAAAAAAAATTGTAAAAATGACTATGTGGGTAGGAGGCAATAGAGTAGAGAGGATAGGGAAAGGCTAGATTTTTGTTTGTTTGTTTGTTTTTTGCTGTACGAGGGCCTCCCACTGCTGTGGCCTCTCCCGTTGCGGAGCACAGGCTCCGGATGCGCAGGCTCAGCGGCCATGGCTCACGGGCCCAGCCGCTCCGCAGCATGTGGGATCTTCCCAGACCGGGGCACGAACCCGTGTCCCCTGCATCGGCAGGCGGACTTTCAACCACTGCGCCACAAACGGGGAAGCCCCTGTTTGTTTGTTTTTAAGATTTACTTTGAAACTATGAAAATGTATAGAATTATATTACAACAAAATCAAATTCAAATAAAAATAAAAAGAGCAATACCTAAAAAGCAAAAGCAAAATGAAACAAATCTGTTTCAAGTTGATGCCTTAACCACAGAAAAGAATTATCTTAGCGACTTTAAAATAATACTCAAGGGATATATCATAAGAACAATTTTTTTAAAAAAGTTTAAGTCTGAAACTTAAAACTTTTCAATAATCATACTGTTAATGTTAATATTGTTACTCAGAAATTATATATATAGTATGTGTTTAGTTTACACATGTAAAGTCAGAAATTATGTTAATGTCATCAGGAACCAAGACTTTCAGCATAGGAGGAAAAAAAGATAAACATAGTCCAGGAAGTAAAAATGTAAAATGTGAGTTGAAACTATCCAACTGAATTAATGATGTATATTTTCCAAAGGGGAAAATATATTTCCTTCATCTGGCCACTGAGAAGACCTAGAAACAATGACAAACTAAGTTGAATGCACACCTTTAGCTTCTGTATTATCTCTAAATACCATTTCCCACTAAAAGGAACCAGGGCTTTTGGAAGGCTGGTTCCAGATCTGGGCCAAGAAATGTGTAAGGATAACCTGGAGCAGCTCGTCATACCAGGAAGCACATCAAAGTTCATGGGGTTGTGTTAAAAAGACTCAGAAAACAAGATGAATAGGCTCTTCTTAGCTGAAGACAGGACAATTTAAACATCAGAGAGTAATAGCTGACCTAAGTACACAGAGAGTATTCCAAGTGACTTTAAAACACAGCGATTTGATTTGACTGTATACGCTTAGTGGGATAAACCCTAAGGATAAAGGAGAAAGAGACAGTTCACAGTAATCATACCTGGTAGTATTTGTACACTTATTTTCAGACTGTTGTACGTGTACTGTGAGATGAATCAAATGAGCAATTATGTGCTATATTCTAACACTCCCGGTGTTTTTGAGAACTGGGATACTCAGCCTAGGAGAATGGAGTTATATATATGAAAGAGGTTAAATAAAACCCTGTAATCCTGAATTTGATTGGGAAGTATCAATATATATTCATGATTTAGTTTCCTTCAAACATACAAACAGAAAAGCACATAACCAAACTAGTTCTGTCTACCTAAAAGGTGCATTTAGCTAGAAACAATGATCCATCTTGGGACAATGTGCACCCCTAGTATTACGGTCCTAAAATACCATTTACTCTAAAAGGAACCAGAGCTTCTTGGAGAAGTAACTGATTCCTGGCCTGGCATAGAAAATGTACAAGATGAGCCTGGAGCATTTGTCATATAGCAAGGAAGCTATCTCAGACGATTAGGCTCATGAAATAGGTCTCAAGGGCCAACTTAAATAAGCCCCTGTTGGTCAAAGGTGGGGCGATTTGAACATCAATAAGAATAATAATTGCAAAAGAGTAAAACACATCAAGTAAGTGTAAATCCATGTGCTCATGATGAAACTAAAAAAACCACAAACCTTATTTGGTCACCTGTCGCCTCTGGAGACTGTTACTGAACAAACCCATTATTCTGAAAACTGACCCTTAAAGGGGAAGTATCAAGCATTATGTTCTGACTTTCCCCTATATATACTCTACTTCAGAGTCATCAACTAGTTGATAAGGAAAAGTTATTATTTAGAAGAATTCTAGTTTATAAATGCAGAACAAATGACAAACTTGGAATACCACCACTTCACAATTCCTAAAAAATTAACTGAGCCAGGCAAAGATCAATAAAAATTGCTAAAATCATTAGGTGAAGAGCTACTGAGGAACTTTACAGACCAGGCCCCAGTTTTTCTATGACCCAGTTTTTTTAAACAACTAAGTTAGAAGGTGAAAAGAGAGGGGAGGGAGGCAGTGAAGATTTACAGATTAAAACAGTCTAAAGGGAGAGGTCTGCTTCCAGCTAATATGCAATCACAGATATCAGACTAACCTTCCTGCCTGACAACTAAGACAGACCAAATGTATGGAACACTTTTTAAGACACTGTACATCAGGTAATGGAAGACAGGGATTCCAGAGAGACAAGAAGCAAATGAGGTGAGCCCTATGATTACCCCAGGTTACTGGCTTGAAAGAGTTTCCAAGCTGCAACACAGTGAGGTGGAGCCCAGGAGGACACTACTGGACTCTAAGTTGGGACAGAGCTGAGAGCCCAGGGAGAACAAAGTAGCAGGAGTTTGCAGGACAGAATACTGGATAGAATAGCAGTATGGAGAGAGCACTCTGGAGATTTGTAAAGGTCCCCCTCCAGCATTCAGCTGAATACCAATCTGTGCACGTTACCACGACCCAGGGTCGCCAAAGAACCACCAGAAAGGATGAGAGGTATTCTTTCTGAGCCAGAAATAGTACCCATGCCCACCAGGCAGAACAGAAAACCTCACGTCGCATGGGCCATCTGGGAGAGTGCTCAAATGGGTCTTGCCTCAGTAGTGAAGAATAATTGCCCCTAGAATGAGAACTGCTCTGGTTCTACCTAACAAAATTTTAAAGCAAGATCTGAAAGGAACAAACTGTTTCCACATTACTGCATCCCAGGACAAAGCTCACAATGTCTGGTATCCAATAAAAAATTACCAGGATTGCAAAGAAGCAAGAAAATAAGACCCATGAGGAGCAAAGTCATTCAGTCAAAACCAATCCAGAAGTGATGCAAACGTTAGAATTCGTTGACAGTGATATAAAAACATTGATAACTATATTTCAGATATTCATAAAGTTCAGTAGACACATGGAGCAACCTGCAAAAGAACAAAGAGGATTAAAACTACCTGATCTCAAGGCTTATCACCTATAGTGTGGAAGAGGTAGAAGGCGGAGGGAGGGACTCTGAAGGGGCACAAGGAAACTTATGAAGACAAGGGACATGCCTGTTATCTTGACTGCAGTAGCTTCATGCGTGTATACATACGCCCAAGCTTACCAAGTTGTATACTTTCAACGTGTACAGTTTATTGTATATCAATTATACCTCAAGCTGGGGGAAAAAAAGAGATTTAGAAGACATCAGGTAAATGCAACATGTTAATCTTGCTTGGATCCTGATTTGAACAAACTGTCAAAAAAAAAAGATAAATACTGAGAAAATTCAAATACAGACTGTATATTGATGATATTGAGAAAAAGTTGCTCTTCCTAATGTTTGATATGCTAATAATGGTGTTATGGTTATATCCCAAAAGTCTATCTTTTAGAGATAAATACTGAAGTACTTATGGTTGATATAATATCAAAGATTTACTTCAAAATAATTCATGGTAAGGGAGGAAGTGAAGAGAGGTCTAAGTGAAACAAAAATGGCCATGTGTTATTGAAGCTAAGTGATGGGTACTTGGGAGTTCATTTCTTCCCTCTTTTGTACATATTTAAAATTTTCCGTAACATGAGAAAAGAGAGGAAGAACAAGAGAAAAAGACATGTAACAACTAAAAGAACACCTAACTCTACCAATAGTAAACCTTATGATGAACATACTTGTTATTGGTCTTCGGGACCAGTTTCCACATTAGTAAAATGAGGGAGTTAGGTTAATATGCACTTTTTAACATTGGTCCATTTCATTTACATAGGGGGAGTAAACTTGTTTTAAAATAGAGTGAACAATGGTTTCTAAGTAAAAGCGATACGGTTCCAAATCCTAACTACATCTAGGGAACAAATTTTTATTCTCCAATACCTTATACAGTGTGTTTATTTCATAAATATGGATAGAATTAAACATGCCCAAAAGAAAAAGGAAAAATTTTAGGAGGAAAATAGTACTGTTAGCCTGAAAAGAACTGCTTACCGTCAAAAGCTTAGTAGTGATACCAGCATCCACTACAGCCTTGTGCATGGCACGTAACGTCTCTAGTTCGGGAGCAGCAATAAACACAACATAGGGCATGAACTCGGATGTCCTCAGCACTTTCAGGGCCTGTGTAGAAGAACAATTACAAACCAATTTATACAGGATTAGAATTTGAATTATGTTACCCTTTAGTTTATACTAAATAATCAACGTCCATCTGCCCTCTTCCTCAAGATAAAGGACATAATTTAATACTTGCTATCTGCCCCCCCTCCCTTCTATCCTTTTGATTCCATACAGTACTTTCCTAAAATGGTGATCCATTAAATTTTGTTCTGACCTCAATCTCACTACTTTCTGGTACCCCTGAACCAAGGAAAGTATTAAACTTAATGATCCCCAAATCATCAAGAATGATGTAAATGCTTTCCATGTTAACTGTAGAATTCTGTTAATATTGAAAAAGCAGAAGTAATTTCAGTGTCCATTAATTGCAGTGGTTATATAAATAAATATATATCTGCACTATGAAATACCATGCAGCAATTACAAAGAAAAAAATCTCTACAGTACCTAACATGAAAAGATCTTCAAGAAATACTGTTTAATGAAAAAAGGTTAAAGAATCTGTATAAAATTTTTCCATTTATGTATAAGAGAAACAACAACAAAAATAGAAAACCCACTGGGTTGAGTGTAGAATGGTGAGAAGGGGTCAATAAGGGAGACATGGAATGAGAATGAAATGAATGGTGAGTGGGTGGGTGTGTGCTGGGTGGAAGGGGTGTGACTTTAATTTTTATTCCTTATGTTTCAGCCTTGTTCAAATTTTAAATTTCCTAACACATGCATTTATATGTTACTTAAGCATGTAAATAAATACTAAACTTCTATCAAGCTTCTATAGCTATCCATGCCTCTGTTGGCTAACAGATCAGAAATTTATTTAACTAGTTGTTGATGCATAATAAGGTTCTCTATTGTCACAAGTAATAGAGGGAAAGAGCCACCCTCATAATCTGAAGAAGAAACAAAAACTCCACAGGAAATAAAACTTAAAAAATATCTTTGGAATCATGCAGCTTACTTGTGGGTTGACATCCAAGATGCAAGTTCGTCCAGTTTGGACAACTTCAAGAATAGAGTCAATCTTGGTTCCATAGAGATTTCCTTCATATTCCCCATGTTCCAAATATTTTCCAGCTTTAATATCTGCTTCCATCTCAGATCGTGACACAAATTTATATGCCTGGCCATCTTTTTCATCTTCCCTTGGTTTCCGTGAAGTAACTAAATAAAATAGCGTTGAGAATTTGTACAGAGACAGTGCAGGGTATTAAAAAACAAACTAAAAGGCACAGGGTAGCCTAAGTCTTTTCCATTTAGTGCAGGGGTTGGCAAACTATGGCCTATGACCAAACCTGGCCTGCTTCCTATTTTTGTAAATAAAGTTTTATGGACCACAGCCATGTTCATTCATTTTATGGCCTATGGTTTCATTCTTTTTACAATGGCGGAATAGTTGTGACACAGACTAGATGGCCTGCAAAGCCTAAAATATTTACTATACGTGGCCCTTCAGTAAAAATGTTTGCAGACCCCTGATTAGTAATGTTTTAAGAGGTAGTCTCCAATATACAATTTATATCCAAAAAATGTGCTTTATAAAGTCAGTTTGAAACTCAAAATATATTTATTTACCTAGAAGCAGAGCCCTAAAGTTAAATTCTTAACTATGGTGAGAGCTAATAAGTGTGAGGTATATTGCAAGTGAACATCTTTTCCAGCTGACCAGCACTCCCCTTCTCCTTAAGGAATATCAATTACAGCCTTTCTTCACACTTCTTTGAACATTTCCTAATTGAGTGTCCAACAGATGAGCAAAATTCTATTCTTAGTTGGTATTATCAATTTTCTGAAGTGTAGTTTTACCCATAAATTATCTATCCTTTATCTTGCCCCAGCACCAAACTTTTCTTCTAGCTTCCTTCTAATTAACATTCCCAAATGCTAATTGTTTTGTGTTGCACCTCGGTGGATCTAGCCACCTGGATGTTATTATGGTCTAGTAACTTTCTCTACTCTGACCTGAAGTATTCTGAGAGAATGAGAGAGAAGAGACCAAGTCAAAAACTTAAAACATCCTTTTGTCAGGTATTTTAGAGACATACAACTCCTTTGCAACTTGGCTGTGCTAGGAATGGACGATTATCACTTTTCAAACTGTTGCAAAGGTGCAGAGTTAGGTATTCTCTGCCAACTTGCTAGCACTCCCTAGGAAGTAAAGTAATTTGTGTATGTGTGTGTGTTATTTTCAAGTTTAGCAACTTAATCTGAGTTTGCCTAGATCAGATATAAAACAGTATTCTACTTCTATTAATCAAGCACTTATACATGCAGAATATCTGCCCAAATCATTAACCACACGCAATTAAAGTTACAAAGTAATCAGATGAAAAACTGACAGAATTTTGACTATTTGAAGTAAGCACAACACATCAAGAAAACTTTTATAAGAAAAAAACTTTAAGTTCAAGCTCAATAATAAGGGTCTAATTCATAAATAAGATTATTATGTACAAGAGGATTCCCTTTTTCCCCTGCTGTTTTCTGGCTCATTCCAGACCACTGTGGAGAGATTTATAAAGTCACTTAAAGAGCTTCAAGATGCTATGATGGCTTTTCATATTAAAAAATGTGTGATCTCAAGGTTTCTGGGATTATTCACCAAAGGTGGTATGATAAAACTCCTAAGGCAATTTTAAACTCCCCAAATACATACATACTAGGACTTGGCTTAATATCCGTAAAGATAATTTTAGAAGAGTACGACTTTTGGGGAGGCACTACAGTGAAACCATTTATGGAAACATGCTGCTTGAAATAAATATGTACAGGCACACACACTGCCCCCCCAACACTACCTCCAACATGTGGAGGGAATCTTAAATTCTTGGTGAAATGTTTTTAGTTTACAAGCGAATTTTAACGACAATACCATTCTCTAGTGAAGACTCAGAAAAGAAATCTACATTGGCACATAATTAAGCCCCTTTCCATTTCTAGAACAGAGAAATTAGAACAGGGTGGATTGACTACAGCTGATTCCTTAGGCTTATAATGCTAAACAACTAAGTAATGCGATTGCTTAGAATTTAAGTTCTGTGATTGACAGGCAAAATTCTAATCTTTAGTAGCTCTTCAAATAGGAAATAATCAACAAAGTAACATTTTATTTAACTATCCCAAGATGTATTAAAGGGAAAACATGATTCATAAGGTAGCTTGTCCACCTGGATTAATAATTTTTTATATTTTATTTTAGGACCATTTCACAATATAAAGAGAAAACTAAGTCAATTTAATCCAACACCAGCATTTACTTCCTTCCCTATGAGACTTCCCCAACCAGCCCACCAGACAATGTGTAGCACAAGACTGTGTATCAAAAATTAGGCAAACTTGTCACATTTCATCACTATTATTTTTGTGTGTGTTGATTCTGAGGCTTAAAACAAACAAACAAACTAAACACTATATAAACATGAATGATTTAAAGAAAAGTAAAACACCACCTACATAATATGAAGAAGTGATACTTGACGATGTATGGATATACATAAATCTTTTATATATAAAAATTCAGACTTGAATCTTTACTAAAAATAAGTCTTGAAAGGTAAAATAGTACATCTTCTGGAAATTAATTTGGCATGAAGAAATCAAGAAGTTGAAATAAATATATGTAATACTTCTGTATTTATAAATCTCTCTATACATCCTTTGGTCTAATAATTTTACATCTGAGATTTATGTATACACATTTTATCATCTCTTTATTTATAACAAAAAAGCCACCCAAACCATATAAGTGGGTGATAACAGTAAAGCATGGTGTACTTATATGCTGGAATATTAAGAAGCTAACACAATTAACTTTTTTAGTGTTTTTAATCATGATAAAATATACATAACATAAAATTTATCATTTTAACCATTATTAAGTGCACAATTCAGTGGCATTAAGTACAGTAACACTGTTGTGCAACCATCACCATTATTCATCTCCAGAACCTTTTTATCATCCTATAGAAAATAAAAAATTACACTCACTGCTTAATATTCTTAGAGATACAGAAGAAATAGCGCCCACAAGCAGATGATGCTGTGGGAAAAAACAGGAAACAGAAAATAATCCTAAAATGAAAAATATGACTACTTATGATAAAACATTGATGAGATAGAAGGTGAAGAACTCAAGGTAATCTTTTAAAGAGTAGAATAAAAAGAGAAAGGTTGGACAACATGATTTAAAAAAGTAAGAGACTGAGGAGATGAATCCAGGATGTTCAACATCCAGCTAATAGAAATTCTAGAAAAAGTGAATAGAGAAAACAGGGAGAAATCATCCAAGAAATAGTAATTCCCCAGAACTGAATGACATGCATCTGTAGTCTGAAGAGCTCACTAATCATCAGCACAATAAATAAAAATAGATGCGCACATAGGCACATCATTATTAAATTGTAAAATAATGAAAACCAACGAAATAAAAAGACTGAAGGAAACATCAGGTCATGTATGAGAGGGCAAAAATTAGAATGACATTAGACTTCTTAACAAAACTGGGTTAAAGAGTAACATCTTTTGGGTTTTACAATCTAGACTTTCCATTCTCAGATAAGCAATCAAATAGAAGACAAAAAAATACACAACTTCAAATACAAAGATGCAGAAATTACATCCCATACAGCATTTTTTTGTCAAGTTACAAGGCATGTGCCGTAGCAAAACAAGGCAATAAACCAAGAAAGAAAAAGAATGGGACCCAGGAACAATAGCTTCAACCCAGGACAGCAACAAAGGGAAACATCCCTATGTGAACGTGTGGCAGCCAGAGTGGAGAGTGTGTAGCCCTCACTGAAGCAGGCAGGCTGAGGGTTGTGGGACAGAGGTCTCCAAGAAAAAAGCATGACTTACTAAATAAGAGGTTCTTTCGTTTAATACAAAACTATACGCGTGAACACATAAGATAAAGAGGGGAAGAAAAAAACGAACTCTAGAAATTGCTGGGTTGGGGGAGAGGAAGAGGCTGTTCAAGAAAGTGAAACTGAATTAACTGAAACTAGAGCTATCTTTATGCTGGGAGGATACTCAGGAAGTCAGGAGGTAAGGCCTACACTGGACAGAACAAGAAATAGCAGAATGAAGACATTATTAAGAAATATGGAAGACTAACAAAATAAATAGCAGAAAGATTGAAAAGTGACTGTTTCTGGTAAGTAGGCCAGAGGTGGGGTAGAGGAAAATGGAGTTATTTTTCATTACATATTTTTAAGAACTACTTGATTAAAATATGCTACATGTATTAATTTGATAAAAATTAAAAATTAAAAACTTTAAAATACTTTGATCACAGTCAGATTTTTATTTTGTTAACTACTTAACTATGATTTGTCTGATTTAGTGATTTACCGTGCCTACAGTGGAACTCAAAGTCTTACCCTGAAGGGATTACAAACAGCACATGAGGACAATGACAGCGTTGTTGCCCCAATACACCCCTAAACATGTTAGCAATAAGATTACTCAATGAGAACTAAATGTCAAAGCATACTGGATGAAAGCAGAGAAACTCTAAAACTCATCCAAAAGAGATGGAGTGATGTTAGGCTAAGATTTGACATGGAAAGCTTAAAGGCATTAAAATACCTACAGAAATTCTGTGTTAATCAAAAGGGGGTTTGGTCAGCAATGGAAGCACAGAAAGGGGACTTAATAAAGGCAACATTGACTTGTGTTCAGGGGAGAGCGCATGTAAGTTCCCACAAGTAAAGGCTCATATATCTCCAAAATGAATGCTATCACTGCCTTATTATAAGGACTAATACACCTTTGTATTTAACTCCTTGCTCTAACTCCATTCTCATCAAGCATGCTTCTGACATTATTTAACTTTCCTTGTAAATGTGCAAATAGAGAAAGAACACAAAGATCATAAAATGAGTGTCTGGTTCATCTAATGGTTATATTTCCCATCAGTATTATTGTATTTTGTATATAAATAAATGTGACCTTCACTAATGCTGCCTGCTCTGGAAGAGGAATCTCTCTTGATGTGCTATCAAAAATCAGGTTTAGGACCTTACAGGACTGAAAACGACAAGCCAGATCACGAGTGTCAGAGGATCCAGCAGGTTTCCCCTGCTGGATGAAAATGGGTGAAAATACAACTTTTCAGATACACATCAACCGTACAAGAAAATGCAAGGTTAATGCTGATTTTGCCACAACTCTTAATACTTGCATTTAATGAACACTTCTGGATTGAAGAGTTTGGAGAAGCGATTGCCACCAGGCAGCCAGCTGACAGGGCCCACAGTGCTATTTCAAGACAGCTGTAGCGTTGCCAAGTTTTTCAGTATCATCTGCTTGTTCATTTTCATTGGCATAATTAGAAATTACTTGGGAATAAAATAATAATAATCTGCCCCACCCCCACTCCTTCTTTCCAATTAAATAGTAAAGGAAACGGAAAACTTACATGGCACTGTGGTTCCAAATCTAGTGGGATTCAACACTATGAACCTGTTTTTCAAGCTTCTTCGTCCCACACCTTGAGCTCCTATCAATACTAATGTCTTTCTCTGGAAGGGAGGCATTTTGGCTACCTCCTCATATATCTGGATTTCATGACGATCAAATTCTAAAAGTAAGGAAATGGGAAAACATCATATTCAGTTATCTTTTATTATTTTTTTAAAATTAATTAATTTTTGGCTGCGTTTGGTCTTCGTTGCTGCGCGCAGGCTTTCTCTAGTTGAGGCGAGCGGGGACTACTCTTTGTTGCGCTGCACGGGCTTCTCACTGTAGTGTCTTCTTTTGTTGCGGAGCACGGTCTCTAGGTGTGCGGGTTTCAGTAGTTGTGGCACGTGGGCTCAGTAGTTGTGACTCGCGGGCTCTAGAGCACAGGCTCAGTAGTTGTGGCACACGGGCTTAGTTGCTTCGCAACTTAGTTGCTTGGACCTTCCTGGACCAAGGCTCGAACCCGTGTCCCCTGCATTGGCAGGTGGATTCTTAACCACTGCGCCACATGGGAAGTCCCTCAGTTATCTTTTATATGGATGAAAAACCTCTGCTATTCTGTTCAGTAATGGCTTAGTTGTCTTGATAGTTAAGTATCACTTTAATTGTACTGACTTAGTACAGATTTTTAAAAATAAATTTGGTAAAGTACAATCAACTATTTTGTACCCTGATTTAAACACCTGCTTCTATTCTTTTGCCTTAAAAAATTGTCTAACTAGAAAAATACCCTTACTTTATCCTTATCAGATAATCTATCCCTTAAAACCTGTTTCTTATTAATTCATCAGTAGAAATAATTACTTAATATAATCAAATTGCAAATTAGTTTATGTAATCTATTCCACTAAAAAGTGAGTATCACATATGGAGGATAGCAGTACACTTAGAGTGGCTGCTTAAATAAGTTTCATAGAATGAGTATCCCCTTCCAATGATATAAATGAATAAATACTGTGTGGTGAACTCTGCAAATATTAGTTTGATTAATAAAGTGCATACAGACAACATACTAACATTTAAATATTAAGATTCTAAATTTATGTATAAAATAAAACATTGGATCTTAACTATTTTCAGTAGAAACACATTCCAAAATTATGATCAATGGGAAAATTAGAAATTTGCCATTTTGCAAGAAAGCTTTAAGAATATATATTTAATGAACAATAAAGCCAGAGGATTTGAAATATTATATTACCTATTATTATGGCTATAACTTTCAATCTATAGTAATAACACTTCTTCCTTAGGTTATTAACAGCAACACTTTCTTTGCACAATTTCTCCACAATAGATTAAGGGAGAGTCTAATTTCCCCTTATTATAAATATTATTATTATAGTACATTATTAGATTATTTCCTTTCTAATGTGCTATTTAGTTTATTACCAATATAGAGGTAGCTCCGAAGTCAAGAAAGCACTTTAAAATTATCAATTCTTTTGAGTAAGCCTCCAGAGCCTTCTGATTCTAAGAGCTGCATTTCACTCCTATCAGCCTTTATAACTGAAAAGAATAACTGTGGTAGGTGTCATATTTATCTTTATTTAAGTCTAAAAGATTTAAGAAAGAATCCTACTAGATCAGGCTAAGATTTGTTTGGTCCAGTATTATTTTTCCAAAAGTATCATGGACAATGTTATGGCAGAATATGGTTGCCCTTAATCATAACTCTTTTATTATCTTTAAAAAGGCATTCTGTTCTGTAGAAATGACACAAGTTTCTATCAAAGTTCTTGAACAAATAGTTTCAATTGTCACATTGTTCCTTCATTAATACAAGCATAAATCCTAACCAATTCATTTTCTTATAAACTATGAGTATAAAATAAAGCACACTAGTGATAGTGCAAGTATATATATCAGGATTTAAATAATGCCTGTATATTATTGTACCAAGTGTTCACATGGCAGTCCCTTGCAGCTGGGTCCTAATCTGAATTAATTCATTTAAAATTATACATTTAGAGTGTATGCCACATTGAGAATGATATAAAGCTATTTCATACTTCGCTTGGATTTCTCAAAAATGTATTTAAAACATACCTGCATTTCTGGTTGTGAGATACATCATCTTTTTCTTTTTTTTGCTACTTATGGTTCCACAAAAAGGTCCTGAAGGATGACAAGGCAAATATAACTTAAACAGTATGTCAGACTATATACACTGCCCTGTGGTGTTCTATAGGGGTGGGAGAATTATCTTCCCAGTGTTGCATCCTACAAAGCAGAAGCAGGCAGGGGTGAGTTGAGCCACTGAATTCTGATACAATACCAGCAGGTGGCAGAAAGGGAACAAAAAGTTTACTTTTGAGAGCAGTACACTAAAGCAGATGAGAGGGATTAATTCCAGATATATTTTAAATAAATTCATCAGCTAATTCAGATGAAAGAGGCAAAGAAAGGTGGCCACAAAGGACTATTTGTTACTTATTGTATCGAGTTCATCACCTGAATTGTCCCAGTCTCTTCTAACAAATGCCTTTCTCTTCTCTTCCAGGAACTGGCTTGGAATGAGACCAGCGCTTCCTCCCTCTTTTACATGGCTAGCCTAGAATCAAATTAATGAATTGTAGATCTCAGTGATCAAAATTTGAGACCACATTCTAATAAGTAGGACAAACAATAGTCAGTTAAAAAAAAAATCACATTTGATCTTAAGAAACTGACCTTGATATTTAAATCCATGGCATTGTCAGGATATTGAAACACTTTAGTACTGAGGAATCAATGGCTACCTAACCAGTGTGCTATTTGGTAGTGAATTTTTAGACCAAAATACAAAGGTATAAGGCTCTTTAAATTACTAAAACTTTTTATTTATAATACTAAACTAGTGAGAATGGAAAGGAATAAATGCTGTTATGTGTTGGCACCTAGTTAGGTGTTTGTTATCCAATAATCCTACTACGTTGGTATTTCCTGAGGCCAAATCAATGGGAAAAAAAAAAAAGAGAGAGAGAGACAGCACTGGGAGAACAGAGTGGAGAGTTTAGTTCATGCTACCAGGAATCTGAATATCCTGGGGGGGAGTAAGTTTCAAATAGGTAAAACCTCACCTACTGTCAACAAACTAACTTAAAATGAAACCCAAAGAAGTGCTATTTCAAAATAGCGGCTGGAGAACTGGCTACTAACGGCTTATCCCACAACATTAGTGACTTTATCCTTACAGCTAGCACAGAAAAATCCAGTATCATTTTTAGCAATTAAAATCCTGAAAAATACAATTAGAGTAATAGATGACAAACATTCAGGAAGAGATTGAGATAGATAATGGTGACAGGTGATAGAGAAAACTGAGAGATGGCATTCACAGAGAAGGGAAAAAAGAGAAAACTGGGAAAGTTTCAAAAAGGACACTGTCACAGAAAGCAGATTTTTTTTAGATGAGTTCTAAGAAATTCAGTGGAAACCTCTTGAAATCATGGATCCCATTTAAACTACTCATTTCTTAGTTCTCTCACCACACTGTGCCATTATACATCATAATGTCTTAATTTAAATTTAAGGACATATTAGCAAGACTGTTCTTATTCTTGTAATTCATTCCCCCTTAGAAGTCAATATAACTTATTAGAGGTAATGTGAGTTACTAATATCTCCATTTAATTCAGAACTTAGTGCTAGGTACCAGGTCCTTTTCTTTCACACTTTGTTCCTTAATGAGACTCTCTTTTGCTTTTACAGTTTAAGAGATTTTAGACTTTGTTTCTACAGTTCTGAATACTGTGGTTGCTAGTCAATGTAAACAAGTACAAAACCGGACTTATTACTTATGCTAGAGTTTTCTGAAAACTGTATTAGTGGAAAGGAAAAGGAAGACCATCGCACACATCTTCTGGAAAATGGAGGGGGGAAAGACAGTGATAACACACATCCCTTTCCATACACACAGATTTCAATCCAAGACCAAACAACACGGATGATAAAGCAAGCCTTCATTTCTCAATTACTGAGAAGAGGTGGGCAAATGGATTTAAGACCTTAAGAAATTACGTTTTATTTGTCATGAATGTATAGAGGAGACAAGAGGAAGATTACTCTACCTACAGTAAAAGACTCCTAGTTAAGAGGAACACTAAAAAGGGATGACCCCCAAGTGAGTTGTTCCTACCCAATACTATATTTTACTGCAATCACATGTGGAAGAACTGATTGGTCTAGTCTCTAAACCAAAGGAAGAGAACCACAGGCTAGTTAATTCTGCATTTATTAACAGCTACTCACAAATTCCCTCTCAATTTGGTCTTCTGTCCACAAAATTAGCAGCCATGAAGCAGGAGCTGTTCATGCAGGAAAAATCATTGGAACAAATGCTAATACCTTCTTCCTGAATATTCAGATATTGGCCAGATCTAAGATTAAAAATAAAAAGGCAGTTGAAGAGATTTTCAGAAGCATACTAACCTGCCACCAGTTTGGGTCTTCTCTGTTTACAATCTGAAGAATTTCTCCTTTTGAAAACTTCAATCCTGCTTCTTTGCAGGGTATCAGGTTATCATTGTATGGATTATAATCAAAATGACATTTCACAAATACCTAAAACACAACACAATTAAAAATACTAGAGATGTATCATTTGTCACGGGATTTCTGAAATCTTTTTCAAAGCACTGTGATTTAATTGTAACTGACAATGTATTTAGTACTTCAACTAAGGAACTTGTTTTCCTTAAATAAGTATATAATTATTAGAACATTAATAATTTGGTATCAGAGAAGAAAATAAGAAATAAACGTTAGTACTACATTAAGTTTTTGTTTCTATTTTTAACTTCTAATTGTAAATCAACGGAGTTTGACAGTTGTTTTCTTCCACCATTCTTACACTTTCTCCCAATCTTTTCACGTGACTTTCCAACAACACTGCGTAATTTTTACGCAAGTAAATGCTACTTTCTAATTAACACTCTGAATTAATATATGCAGCTGATTTAAGGCATGTATTTCAGATATAACAGGACTGACTTCTTAAAAGTTTCCTGAAGCAAAAATTAAATACTATAAGTTCATATTGAAATCAGACCTGAAATATATTTATTAAACTTAAAAAACAAAAAACAAAATACAACCCACTTTCATCCCTGGTAATAACATATATTTTTAATCACACAGATTCACACTAGCCAAAATTAGTGTGGAAAACACTCTTCTGGAATCATCTTGCTTTGATGTAAACGATCAGCATTAAATTAATTGTAAGACAAGTGCTAAAAAAGCCTTGAAACTATTTTCCAATTTAAATTCATTTAACCACACAAATTTCCTTTAAATCTGTTTTATTAATAAAAGTATGTCAATTACCACTATTAGTTATGATCTCCAATATCCAAAATATTTAGTTTATTAATTTTAATTTGAATTCTAATTAAGTTAAGCATTTTCAGTATTTGATGGCAAGTTCAGAGCAATTACTTTCTTAATACAGACTTTTTTCAGGAATATTTATACAAATTCAAATTTTATCTGCTAAGGAACTGACTTAGTATTAATCAGCAGGTAAACTAACAAGCAGGAAAGCACATAATTAGTCAAATAACAATGTTATTTTTCTATTTATCATACTTCTATAAATATAACCAAACAAGATATTCAAATAACACAAGCAGATATATTACATTATTAGTGTACTAAAATGTAATGTGACGGATGCACATTAAAATAATTTAAAAATAACAATGTGGGAACATGACAAAATTTTAGTTACTTACAATTAGATGATTTTGACACAAAGCATTCAGAATATTTTCAATAACTTTTGAAAGGCTAAATATTAATGCTTAAAAAAATCAGTAAGCCAATAATTTTTTTCCTGATACACAATTTTAGAAATATCTCAAAGGCAAGCATACCAACAGTATTAAGATTGCTAAAATGTGACAACTGGCTAACTTGACAACGGCATGCAGCTCAATGTTTTGGCAATGGAAAATACCCAAAATGATTAAGTGTAATTAAGGCAAATTTAGCTGGCTGATAAGACAGAAAAACAGAGTACCAGAGAATCTCCTGGAATGACATCATACCTGACGGACGTGTGATGGATTCCTCTCCATATGGATGCAACTCTAAAAATACATTTTTCATTGCATAAATAAAGCCAGGCTTTAAACTGATAATAAATTAACAAAATACAAACAAACTACTGGCCCATTTTTACTTCACTCATTTTGGTAAAGCAACTACTTCCCTAATTAATTGTCCACAGGCTATAACACCTGAAAATGATACAAGCAAAAGTTAGAGGTGTTTGAGATGAGGCAGAGAAGAAGGATATGGATATGCAAAGTTGTAAAGATACCTGGATACTCCTTACTTCTCAAGAAAGCTGCACTGAATTAATAGTAAGAGGATCCTGTCATCTAATCATGAACGTGTTTATTATTCTTATCTGTGGGACAGAATATATTTTATAACAAAAGGCTCAGACTTTCTGAGTTAGTCCAAGTTTCAAATATTCATTTCCCTACTCTCATCAAATTGTTCTGGAAATGTCATTATTTGTCAAACAAACCACATCTCTCCAATATAAAAGATTTCTGGAAGAAGCAATTCTATTTTTTCATTAACCAAATTAGTTTTGGAACATTACTCTCAAGCTCAAAAACTCAGATTAAACTAGTTTTACTCTGAACTTTGAAAATTTGTCTGAAAAATCAATGAACCCAACCTTTGATCTAAACATTTTGTAATGACCTTTAAATCACAGAGTTTTGACTAGATTTAGTATAATTGTATTTTATTAAGTACATTTTAAAGTGTTTCATTAATAGGCTATGGATGTTAACTGTTCATTGGTTATTAAGAAGTTACTAAATACAACCGGCTAATATATTTCAATCTCATATTCTTCTTATCTCTAACAGAACTGAATAACCAACAATCTAAAGTAGAAGGAAGAGAAAAAAGAAAGTACAAATGGCTTTTAAACACAGGAGGAGATGTTAACCTCACTCAGAGTAGAAATACAAATTAAAACTATATTATAATAACATTTCCTTCCTGTCATATTAGCAGGAATCCAAATATTTGATAACATTCTGTAGATAGGAAAATGCCTATTGGCCCATAGTCCTAACAGGTTGGTGGAAGAACTGGTTTAATCCCTTGGGAGGACAATTCAGCAAAGCTATCAAAATTATAAATGCAAAAAACCTCTGACCTAGTAATCCACCTCTGGGAATGTGTTCAACAGCAGTGTTACTTAGATATATGCAAAATGACTTACTAGAAGACTATTAACGATTGAATATGTCCTAATCACAAAAGATTGGAAGCAATCTTAACTGTTTAACAATAGGGAGTGACGACTAGACTGGTAGTAGATTAGGAGGGAGACTTCAGCTGAATACATATTCCTATTTCTTGACTTCTAGAATCATGGGAATGATTCATCTATTCAAAAATTAAATTCTTGGTAATGAAAGTAGAGATAAAATGACTCCCACTTCTGACTAAGAGAAGTAACAAGGACCCACCCTCTAAACTGAAACAACTAAAATACTGGACAAAACATATGAAATGTTTGTCAAGACATCAGACAACGAAGACAGTGATCCCTAAAAACTGGAAATAAACAAGATGAACTATACAATTGCCCCAATTAATTGCACAGAAAAAGTTTCCAGGTTGTAACCCAGGAAGGGGGACGCTAGGTAGAGCCTGGTGGTCTACAAGTTGAGGAGATGAGCTGAGAGACAGGGAGATCATGGGGGTTACAGTGCACAGAACAGAGTGACAGTGTGGAAAGGGTTACACAGAGAATGGGCTCAAGAACTAGAGGACTCCCTCCAGCGTTCAGCTGAATACTGGTCAGTGCATGTCATCAGTACGATCAGGTAAAGAATCAGCATTATGGGGAACAATATCAGGAGGTCATGCAGGGTCAGAAATAGTTTCTGTTATCACCAGTGTGAGTGGAAAAACCTCATAATTCATGAAGCATTCAGTATTCAGAAGGGTTTTGCCCTAGACTTAATCCTACTCTGGTTGCACCTAACAAAGCTTAAAAAAGCACAATCTGAAAGGATCTAACTGCTCCCACATAATGTAACTATCCTAGAACAAAACCTGAGAATATTTCTAAGAATACAAAAATATCCAGCACTCAGCAAGGTAAAATTCATATCTGGCAGCCAATCAAAAATAACCAGACATGCAAATAAGCAGGAAAATACAACCTAAAATATGGAGAAAAATGAACCAATTAAGAGTGACCCGGAAATAACAAATGGGACTGATTTAGTAGGCAAGGACATTAATATAGTTATTTTTAACTTTACATATTGTAGTCATATGTTCAAGAAGCTGGAGGAAGGATTCGGCATATTAGGTAGAAACATGGCAGATATAAAAAGGTTCCATTCAAATTTCTAGAGATGAAAACAAAAATATCTGAGATGAAAAAAAAGTACACTGGATATGATAAACAGATTAGACATTTTAGAAAAAAATAATAATAAAATTGAAGACAAAGCAATAGAAACTGTCCGACATGAAAAAGTGGGAGAAAACAAGACTGAATAAATGAAAAGAGTGTCAGTGAGCTATGGGACAACGTCAAGGAGCCTAACACGTGTAACTGGTGTCACCAAAGGACAGGAGTAACAGAGGAACAGAAAAAATATTCCAAGTAATAACAATCAAAAAATTTCCAAATCTAATGAAAGAGTCTTTTTAACAACTGAAAAGAAACTGGAAAAATTGGATACCTACATGCAAAAACAAAAACCCCAAACCAACGCTTTGATCCATATCTTATACCCTATATAAAAACGCAGTGTAAATGGATCACAGAGCCAGATGTAGAGTGTACAATTATAAAACTTTTAGAAGAAAACATAGGAAAAAATCTTTATAACCATGTGTTGTACTAAGATTTTTTCACACAGAACAAAAGCATGATCCATTAAAAAAAAATGGACAAATCAGACTTCATCAAAATTAAGAATGTCTGCTCTGTGTATTACAGTGTTAAAAGAATGAAGACAAGCCCCTTCTCACTTGGAGAAAATCTTTGTAAATCATAATTTCGATAAAGTACTTGTATAAAGACATAAAGAACTCTCAAAGCTAAATAATAAGGAAAAAAACAACTCAATAAAAAATGGATGAAAGATTTGAAGACATCACCAAAGTAGTCATAAGCATGGCAAATAAGCACATGAAAAGATGCTCAATATTAGCAGTCATTAGGGAAATGCAAATTAAAATCATGATAAGACACCATGACACACCTATTAGAATGGCTAAAATTATAAAGACTGACCATACCAAATGCTGGTGAAGATGTACAGTAATTGCAACTTTCCTATAGTGCTGGTGGGAACGTAATTAGTACAACCACTTTTGAAAACAGTATGGCCATTTCTTTACAAGTTCAACATATACCTACCAAATGACCCAGTACTTCAACTCTTAGGTATTTACCTGAGGGACTTACATGTAAATGTCCATAGCATCTTTATTTATAATAGCCCCAAACTGGAAACAACAAAAATGTTCATTAGCCAGTTAATGGATAATCAAACTGTGGTACA